TCTAGCTTCCCACTCCTGCTTTCCCCTCTCCCCTCTCCCCCAGCCCCCACCCCCCGTTCCTGCTGCAGCAGTGGGTGTGAGGGTGACAGTCACGTGCTGCCCTGCCACACAGCTGCCCCGCACACACTCAGCTGGCTGCTGCCTCTGTCCAGGCGTCTGCCCTAGGCTGGCCTCGCTGCTGCGACTCTGAGACCTCCTTCCTGGTGGCTCTCTGGGAGGTTCGGCCTCGGGGCTTTGGGTGTGAATATTTCATGACTGCGTGGTCCATCTCCAGCGACTCTGGGGCTGGCCGAGGGGTCTGCAATGTTCCTGCCTCCGACAGGCGACACCGAGGTGCTTGGTCCCTGCAGCCTCTCTGGGCCTGTCACCCAACTGCAGACCCAGCATCCTGGGTGGGGCGCCCGGGAGCGCGGAGCGAGGAGCGGCCTCTGAGTGTCTCCTCCTCTCTCACAGGCTGGTCCGGGGACACTCATCATGGCTGCAGGGGTCCAGGACTTCAACCGGACGGAGTCTGACCGGCTGAACGAGATCAAAGGCCACCTGGAAATCGCCCTGCTGGAGAAGCACTTTCTCCGTAAGTACAGGAGGACAGATGGGGTAGGGACAGTGCTGGCCAAAACGTGTGGGGGCGGCTTACCCAGCCTGGCCTGCTTCCTCCTACCTGGTCTGACCTGCTTCCCCCTTGGCCAGACCTTCTGCCCCCCTGGCCTGGCCTGCTTCCCCCTACCCGGTCTGACCTGCTTCCCCCTTGGCCAGACCTGCTGCCCCCCTGGCCTGGCCTACTGCCCCCCTGGCCTGGCCCACTTTCCCCTACCTGGTCTGACCTGCTTCCCCCTTGGCCAGACCTGCTGCCTTCCCGGCCTGGCCTGCTGCCCCCCGGCCTGAGTCTCCTCCTGTGGCCTCAGGAGGCGTCTGTCTTATCATCTGTGGGGTCATTGTCCTAGAGACCAGGATGGGAAGGACTTCTGTGAACACTGCAGTGGCCGTGGTGGGCCGGTGCCCACACGGTTTGTAGGGGTCCAATGGGCTGTGCCGGTTCTGTGCTCATGGGGGATCTGCAGCCCCACGGACTGTTCAGTTTTCTCATGTCTGCACCAAGAGGGGACCCAGCTGGGCGCCACGCCTGTTCCTTGTGGACCCTGCCCGGCTGCTCGTGCTTCTCAGCCAGGTGTCCTCTCTGCGGGCTTTGGGGTCTGGGTGGTACTCACAGGAGATTGTTCCACAAGGACTGTACAGGTCTGCCCTTTCTCCTGGCTGGTTGTGTTGTCCCTGTCACGGATGAGGACACTGGGGGCCACTGGGGACAGTCCTCTCTGCTGCTCAGGTGCCAGCCAGGCGATGCGATTGTTAGCACAGCTCTGGTGACCCCTGACAGAGCCATGCGTGACTCAGTCTCCCACAAGTCCAGGTTTCTGGGCTGCCCAGGGGCTCATGAGATGGAGTGTGGTCTGGGGGCTGTGAAGGTTGGTACTGGGGTCACTGTGGGAAGCGGTAGCTGGGCTGACCCTCCTGCTGGGTGCTGCAGCCAGACTGGCGTGAGTGCACTCCTGGTGGGTGACCACTGGCCACAGCTCTGTCTGGCTAGTCTGGCCAGGCCCCTCTGGAGGGAGGGTGTTCTTCGGTCCAGAGAGGAAGAGCCCCAGGGTGCTCACGCCTGGTCATGGTGGACCTGGCCCAGAGGTGCAGCATGTGAAACATGGTGAGAGTGACCACAGCTGGCCCAGGGCGCGGCGTGAGCTTGTGTGCTGGGAAAGGTGCCAGGTTCTCCGCTTGGTGTTGTGTGCACCTCGGCTTGTAGGAGGCTTGCTGTCATGCTGTGCATCACTCACTCCGGGCAGATCATAATTTTTTTTTTGCAGCTGAGTAAACAGTGGTTGCGTATTGTCATTGGCTCGTTTTTCACTGGTGTGTTGCCAGTGGCTGGTTTATCGCTGGTGTGTTGTCATTGGCTGGTTTAATGTTGGTGTGTTGTCAGTGGCTGGTTTATCGCTGGTGTGTTGTCATTGGCTGGTTTATCCCTGGTTGTGTTGTCATTGGCTGGTTTAATGTTGGTGTATTGTCAGTGGCTGGTTTATCGCTGGTGTGTTGTCATTGGTTGGTTTATTGCTGGTGTGTTGTTATTGGTTGGTTTATCCCTGGTGTGTTGTCATTGGTTGGTTTATTGCTGGTGTGTGGTCATTGGTTGGTTTATCGTGACATCTCTCATTTTGTAGGTGTTCTGTCCCACATCTCCCCCTTCTTTTGATGAGGCTCCAGGTTACTGCCACTGTTGTTTCTAGTACTGGACGTTGCTTCATTCATTGCTGGGCAATTATCAGGCTGAGTAACCTGTCCTTCTGTCTGTCCCCTTCACTCCCTGCGGGACTCAGGGACTTCCATGGAGTCGAGGCTGATCTGTTACGGAAATCCTACAAAGTCAGGCAATCTCCTTTGCAATTTACATCCTCTAAAAGCCCGCTGGAGGGTCAGTGTGGACTTGGTTCCAATACAGCAGCCCTGAGTCCGTGACTAGACTTTGTCACACACCATAACCCTTTTGTTGAGTGACCAGGCCCTGGAGAATGTTCCTCGGTAGAGCATCCGTGAACTGCTGTCTTCGTTCTCTCATGCTGAAATCACACATGTGGGTGGCTCTGGGAAGTTTATTATGTCACGGTGCGCAAGAGACCAGAAGTCAGAATTCAGGGCAACCCCAAGCGGATCATTGACTCTCTGTTGCTCTAGGAAGATTATTGTGTCTTTTCAGCCTGTTTCCTTGGGAATCTGATGTGACATAGTGTCTGTCTGTCCCAATCGGTGCCTGCCTGCTTGATCTGTGTCTCGGAGTTGGTGGTGTGAGGTGCACTGTCCATCACATAGGAGCTCTGGTGCGTGGTCTGTAGGGAAGTTGAGCTGCTGAGTCATTGGAGAATCTAGGAGTTGGAATTTACCCTTGAGTCTGAGGAAGAAAGATGGGCAAGCTCCTCTCATGTGCTTCCAGCTGTGGGACTCCCTGTCCGGTCATCTGTGAGTCTGTTCACTGCATGAATTCACTAACATAATAGAGGAAATTCTGTTCCCAAATGGCATTGTTGCTGTTATATGCTGTCTGTGACCCGTGACTCACAGCCACCCTATGCACAATGGCTCTGAACTCTGCCCTATCCTGAGCCAGTCTCACTGTTCCCGACACACCTACCTCCTTTACCCCGGTTGCTGTGTCAATAGGGTTACATTCTCACGTATGTTGTTATTGTGTGCTCTTGAGTCAGAACCAACCCATAGCTGACCCTCCCGCAGGTTTTCAGAGGCTGTCGGTCACACGGGAGGAGATTGCTTATCTTTCTCCAAGAGCAGCTGGGTGGATTCAAACTGCCTGCCTTTGTGTTGGCAGAACAGCTCCTTAGCACTAAGCCACTTGTACTGCGGTTGTTAGGTGCTGTTGATGACTCCAGCGGCCCTCTGAACAGCGGGTCTGAACCTGAGCCATCTTCACCATCTCTGACACACGGATCCCATCGCCACAGTTACTGATTGAAAGTCCCCTCCTTTGCTGACCTGTCACCTTCCCAAGCATGATGTCCCTAGAGCTTCCGGTTCGCACCTATAAGGATTAAGACATCGCACGTGTGCTTGGGGAAGGGGAGGACACACAGGACCCAGCTCAGCCCCTCACTGACCTGTGGACAGCAGTGAGGCACCTGGTACCTGTAATGCCCTCACAGCTGGGGTTCTTGAGTCCAGCCTTAAACTATGTGCTGCCTCCCTCATCCCAGCAGCCTCACCAGGAGTCAGAGTCAACTTGATGTTCGTGTGTTTGGTGGGGATATTTTTGGGTTTAGTAATCGACCCTTCCTGTTGATGGTGGTCAAAAGCAGCAAGCCCGTGATCTATAAGGTTCTCTCACTGGCTAATCTAGCCTTTTGGGCTGTTGCTTAACTGTTTAAAAGTCATTTGCGGGCTTGATACCTCCTGAGTTTGCAACAATGTTTTTTTCTAAAAGCAGGGATCTAACCAGATAGGGAGCTCCTGTGATAAAAAGCTACATTGTAATCTCAAAGGCAAGCATTTGGAATGCACTGCAGAAGGATGGGGAGTCTGTACAGTCTGCTGCCTCTAAAAACTCGTTAGAGGGTCAGCTGTGGGTTGGTTCAACACAACAGCACGCAACAACCACAACAGTGATGCAGTTCTCAAAGCCAGGACAGTGTGGTGCCGTGTTGTTAGGAACAGTCAAGGAGGGATCACAGCAAGCCTGTGAACAGCAGACGGGCACTTTGCTGGCACTTTGCTGGCCTGCGCTGTCCTCCCCACCGTGCTCCCCACCGAGCTCACTGTTGCTGCCCTCACTGCGTTATGCCGTTTTGTTAAAGGTCCTGCTCTCTTTTGCTGACCTTCTCCCTTTCCCAGCATGATGATTTTTTCCCTCAAGGGCCAGCCCCTCCTGACCACATGCCCGAAGTCTGTGCGACGGAGAGCAAACACATTGTCTTTACAAGAAGCGCAACCAAATCCTTGGCTCCTTCGAGGCGCGGATGGCGAGGCTCGGCTCGTCAGTGCGGGGTGTAATCTAAGACCCTGCTCTGTTTCCACCATCTGTCCCCATAACCTCCCTCAGCACGGTGTTGTCCAGGCCCACACGTTTCCAGCCATCTGTCCTGTCTCTCATCTCCCTTAATCTGGAGCGGCCCCTTTGTCCCTTCACTGCCCTGACACTGGCGTTCGTGAAGGGCACAGGTCACTTCTACGAACTGCCCATCACGCGGGGCCCGTGTTCCATGTGGTCACGATTGGATTCCGTTAGGCACTCACACCCCACCTGTTGCTGATGGATGGGGTGTCCTCACTGCACCGGGTCAGGACACCCGTGATGTCATCACAGGCCACTTGGTCACTGCCTCTCACGGAGCCCTGGTGGTGCAACGTGGTTAAGTGTTCCACGCTCTCCAGGAAGCTGGTGACGAGAACTCCAGAGTGCTCTGGATGACCCACTGGCCATTCTGCTCCTCAGAGACCCCAGTCATCAGAAACCCTGAGGAAGCGGGGCGCTTCTCAGGCGTCCTCAGGGTTGTGGCTGTCAGATCAACTTGAAGGCAGTGATTTAGTCTTGGGTTTTCCCTGCTTTTAACTAGTCGGGGGTCCTACTCTCCAGCCTATAAAACCCCTCAGTGGTCAGTGTTGACGTCACGTGCTGGAATTCTAGTACTTTCTCTCAGCAAGACCTTCGCCATGAAGAGGAGGACAGGGCCGGAGTGCACGGCGGCCACCTTCATTATTAACTCTTGAAGCATACAGCGTTCCAGGGGGAAATGCCATCGGAGGGGACTGGCTCATGCCGGGCACGGGACCCTGGATTTGTGGCAGGAGCAGATAAACCCGTTCAAAGCATCGGCTCATTGTTTGGCCCCACACGGCTCCTCACTGATGCCCCTGGAGGAGAGAGCGAGCTGTCCCCTAGCTCTGTCCATGTGCGGGCAGGCTCTGGAGGTGAAGCTCTCTGATGTCATAAGGTGCTCACATGGGGTCCACACTGAAGTGACTGAATGTTGTCTCCAGTTGAACTATACCCCCCCAAAATGTGTGCCAGCCTGGCAG